ATCTTGTTAAAGACCAGCCTAACACCACAAAATTTCTTAAGTGGCAAGCAATTTTATTTCCAACTGTAGGCCTTGTATCATGTTATTAGGAGGCATACACCAATTCACCTTAACTTTCAACTTGACTCTTCATCATTAGTTGATGTTGTATTATTGTTGATATATTCTGGCTTCTTTTGTCAAAGACTTCTATATAAATATGTCTAAGCTCTGACTTGGTTCCTTTATATGTACTAGATTAGCTCGCCTATCTCTATGAAATTACCTTCTTTAGCTAGTTGTTTTACAGTGCCAGAGGTGCTTCTTGTTTAGGTAAGGTCAATCTTTTAGCACAGCCTTTTCATATATTTACTGCTTCTCTCACCATTCTAGTTTCAGTAGTATTGTATTACTTTTCTAAGCAAATACCCAGCACTATTTCCAAATTAAGACTAATGTGCACAATCCGTTGATCATCCTTTCAAGCAAGTACTTCACAAGTTGGATACAAGGATGTTGGTGTTGCCTAATATAGAGGTGAAGGGATGTTAGTGTTGCCTCTGAGTCACCTCAACCAGAGGACTAACTTGCATGATCTTCTATAGCCTAAACCTTCTGTGACACCGCTGTTATACATGATATTTGCACTTCATGATTAGAGCTCCTTCTGGAAATTTCTATTCCAAAACCGTACTTGCACTTAGACTTTCCACAAGGCTTTGCATTCAATTATAGCTCTATTAAGGTTATAGTAACAAATTTGAAAATTTGCTACCAGCTCAACTCGAACCGTCAACCTTGTCTGTAGGGGTTTGGAAGCTTAACCAATAAGCTACAGAGCCCAACCCCTTATAACTAGATTTTATACTAGATGCTGTATCTATAATTTACTATTATTTAGTTTATCTAATTAAACCTTCTGATCAACTTAGCACTGTCAGATATTCTCTTTAAAGAGAAACTACTAAGACCCTTAGGAATACTTTATTTTTATAATAAACCTACTAGAGTAGTTTATATCTTATATATATATCACCTAGATTTTTAGTAACTTATATCTAAACCACAGCCAAGTACTTGTAATATTTTATCTCTACTATCGTCACTTACTTCTTGCCCTTGCAAAATTCATCTAAACTCAAGCATCCACTTTATAAACTATTAATAGTACTTTGATGCTAACTATTAGTGCTTTAAACTTTCAATTCAGATGGCCTAGAAGAGACTAGTAGGCATCATCTAGTATTCTAAATGAATTCTTTTTTCTTCGATTATCCAGCAGCCTAGTTGGTATAATGCTTTTATTAAACACTTAGTCTTTGTTCAGTTTACTTCTGGTATCTGGTTTCCCAGATGATAATTTTATATATAGCACTATCAAAGATCTATACTATCTCTCTACTTGGAACTTCTTAAGCAAGCTTCTGTATTTTCTGATCTCTTGAATTAATTTGACTGCTTCACTTGAGATTCATATAACTTATACATCATATTATTGTTTCATAACCTCCCAGTACAAGCTGATATGACCAAGGTTACAGATACTGACTTGATTGATATGTTATATAGTCTGCTATGACACATTCCATAAAGTTAAATTTTGTTATCAGTGTGATTTGAACTCTAGTTTTGCTGCTTGGGAGTGCAACAACTTATTAACTTCACTAAGTTACCACATCTATGAATAAATTATTTTATTAGTCTCTAATATTACACCAAATTAATTTTTCATTATGCATTACCCTTCAATCTAAATTTTTCAAAATTTTATTTTTTTTCCAAAATAATTTACTTTGTTATAAACAAAATAATAATATTTAATTCAAATTAATACTAATAATTATTATTATTACAGTATTTAATCAAAATATAAAGATATATAAAAATTATTTGAATCTAATTTAGATTATTTCAAAATGGTTTTCCTTATAAAATCTAATTAGTTGAATCTACAAATTTCAGCATTATTAATACAATTAAATAATACTTTTATATTGTTGACAACTTTAAATATTTATATTAAATTTGTTGCCAATTTTGTATATTTACATTTATATGAAGATTGTACTAGGCCATCAATTATAGTAAAAAAAATTATATTTTAATTAAATATATAATATCTTGTAATTTATAGCATAAATTCAACTTTTTATTATTCTTTCTAATGATTCTCTGATCAACAAGTCCAAAAATCTGAACTACAGTCAGCATTATAGAAGACATCAAAGGGTAATAATATACTTGGTCCTATACATGCCACCAAAATAGGTTTTCAAAAAACCTCTATTTTGTCTTCATTAGAGCAATTTGAAATTTTTTATATGCAATAGCAAATCTAATTTAGGTAGTTATATTTCTTATAATTTCATTTCTTCAAAAAAAGTGTCAAAAAATTTTGTCTTTTAAATAAAATACAGTAGAATTCCGCAATAATCACATCTGCATTTATCACAATTACGCTATAATCACATAAATTTATTTCTTCAAAATTTTACTAACAATTTTTACTCACAATAATCACATATAATACTAGATTTTGTAATAATCATTATCACATTGCTTCAATACATGATACTTATAATAGTATTATAAAAAAATTATCTACTATAGTCATGTCAACATATGTGTAATCTAAAAATACAGTACAATATTTCACATTTAGTTCATAGTATATATACAATTATTCGATTTTTGCAATTATATGTAAATATAAAATTACAAATAAAAAATTATTTTACAATACACAATCTGATAGCAATTAAGTAAATTTATATGTGACTACATTGCACAAAGTTTAATGTATAAATACAATAATTTAAATCTTTGATCAGATCCACAAATCACAAATATACTTGATTTATTGCAATTACTTAGTTGTTTAATTGTCGATTGTTAAATTGTATTTTTAATCAAAAATTTATAGCGGTTTGCAAAATTATGTGAAATTTTAAGATCATATTTAAAAAAAAAGTAATCACTAATTTCTGATTACTAATTTCTGATTTCTTCAACATTTTTTTTTTGACTTTTAGACTAGACGAAATTTGTGCATTTATTATTTGTACAAATTTATTTGAATATTTTAATACAACTCCTATTTCTGTAAATATATAGTCTAATATAAAAATCAAAAAAAATGTTGAAAAAATTGGAAATCAGTAATCAGAAGATTACTTTTTTTTAATGATTTTCAAATTTCACATTATTTTTGCAAATCGCAATAAAAAATATAGCATTGTATAATTTTTTGCTTGCTATATTAGCATTTATTAAAATTATTGTTGCAACCAATACTGAAAATGGCTGATGCTAAAATTTGGAGTCTTGATTTGAAAATATAAACTCTGCTAAAATTCAACCTAACTCTAAAAAAAAAATAGACAAAAACACCCCAAAAAATTTTAAATTTTTATATTAGAATAGGGTTGAATTTCAGCATTAGCTGTTTTTAGCAACAATTATTACTCATAATTGTATAATCAAATAAAATCAGGTAATTGATGATTAATGGTAATGTTTGCTGCGATAAATTTTATCAAAGATGCAATATTTTACAAACCATTAATATAAATATTTATAAGCTTATTATTGGTTTAAATTAGTGCAATTATTAAATTCTATGAAACCTATATATTACTATTGTATTCATAATAGCAATATATAAAATTCATAGAATTTAATAGTCACGCTAATTCAAAACAGTATATTTACTGGTATCACACAAAAAAGTAATAAAATTAGTTATTAAACATTCTAAGATTCTGAATTCACCTTTATGTATGATTCATATGATCAAATACGTAGTACATAGTTTGAAGATGCTAACTAAAAAAGGTATATAAATTAAATACTATAATTGTAAATTAAATATTATTATTGCTCAATCAGATAACTTTATTAAACTAATTGGAAAATATAAGAATTCTATTTTGCTATCAATTTACACTTTACGTATCTGTTACACTACAACATTTCCTAAAATAATACTACTAGACAATACAGCTATATTTCTAAATATGCTATCACAACTTTCCCACAAACCTAAACCATAAAGAGGTCCCTGTGAAACACCGAAACTCTTCATATAGCTAAGACGAGAAATGCCTTTATAATGCAACACATAAGCTAACTACTTCAGAAAGATGATTATTGTACTGATGTTTAGCGTAGAACCCACAACCTATTAGTCAAAAACCCATGCACTGCAATTCATAGTCATGGAGCCTAAACACACAGTCCTTGCACTACTACGCAGCCACAAAGCCAAAATCTCTAAGGTCCTTGCACTGCTATTGCAGCCTCGAAGCCTCTAATTACTTATACAAAAATCTGCACTACCACACTCTTCGTAGAGCTTAAAACCTAGGTCCTTGCACTGCTACTGCAGCTTTGGAGCCTACTTATCACATAAACACAAAGTATCCTGCATTGCTGCCACAGCCACAGAGCAATTTACCTTCCCATTCCTATTATCTGATTAACATCTGAAAACATCTCCTTACTTTATTACTTAATCATTAACATTTATATTCCTTCGGCACTGAAACGATCATATGCAATCATAAACTAGGCCAAAAAAAAACCTGATCTAACAAGAAACCTCAGCATCCATTATATTCCGTAAAAGGCTAAAACCTACAAATTATGTATGTGATCCATATTATCATCTAAATACTTTGTCACTTCGTTGACAAGCTACTCAAGAAAAAAGAAATATATAAAATAGGTAAAATCCTGGTCAGACTATGTTGATACATATAAAAATATAGACTAATTCATAAAAAAAAAAAAAAGAATAACACTTGAAATACTTCCTGTTGTGTTGCTTGATCTTCTAAAATGACAAATTAGCTATTAATTAAAAGGATAGATTAGATGAGATAGAAACTATAACAGTAGAATTTAAATATAAGTTATAAAATCAATAAATATTAAGAAAAAATTTCTTGAGTGCTTGTTCAATTATTTTTTACTTATCGAATTATATATTTTGAAGCCTTGTCTTTTTTTATTTTAATAATATGCCTAAAGATAAAGACAAAAATGATAGTAAAAAACGTACTAAACTTACAGCCATACAAAAAAAAGAAATTCATGATAAAAAAAAGCTAATTCTAACTTACGTGATGAAGAAATCGCTACAGAATTTGGTTGTGACAGAAGTACAGTATCAAAATTTCTTAAGCAAAAGAAGTGGTCTGAAATAAAAAAAATATCACCTAACTCAAATGCACTTAAAATCATTGGTCCCAAATTTCCTCAAATTGAAAAAGCTCATCAAATGTGGGTTGGTACTGCCAAACAACAACAACTCACATTTATAGGTATATATATAAATATATAGAGTTGTTAGTATAGTACTAAACAGCAAAAATATTTACTTATATATATAAAATATAAAATGCTTATAGTATAGTAATAGAATCAAATTATTTTAAAAAAAATCTGTCTTACAGATTTGTTGCTTTTAGTCTAAGCTACAATTCTGTTAGAATAGATTTTTATTTTTTTTATAAAATTACTAAGTTATTAGAAATTAAAGGTTATATATAATCAAAAAAAAATTTTACCATCAGAATTCATTTTGCCAAAATTATATAATCTCAAAATTTGGTGCTTTTAAATATTTTTTGCTGTTCAGTACTGTAGTAACCAATATACAGTAACTTAAAGTAACTTACAAGTAACTTACAAATTACTGTAATTTAACAATCTTGTTATAGGTGATATAATTCGTCAAAAAGCACTTCATTTTGCAACATTATTAAATGTTTCAAAAGAGGAATTTAAGGCATCTCAAGGATGGCTTGCATGGTTTAAGGCTAGAATAGGTTTTCAAAATCATCGAATTTATAGTAAAGCTAGAAGTGCCCCTATTGAACTTCTTCCACAATTTAGAGAGAAGTTAAAAAATATTTTAGACACTTATAAACCGCAAAATATTTTTAATACTGATGAATGTGGTTTATATTATCATATGAGTTCTGATTATTCTCTTTTAACAACTATTCGAAAAGATAAAAAAAAAGATAAAACAAAAATTATTGTTCTTTGTACAGCCAATGCAGATGGTACTGAAAAAATCACTCCCCTAGTTATTAATAAATCTAAAATGCCAAATGCTTTTCATGAAGTACATATTACTTCTTATAATCAACTTCCTGTTGAATATAATTATAATGAAAAGGCATAAATGCATCAAATCATTTTTAAGATTATTATAACTACTTAATTAAAATTTACTATTAAATTACTTACCTAATATTTCAATACTATATATAAGTATAATCAAAAAAAAAAGAGACTTTGGGCTTATATAAATATTGCTAATAAAATTAAAATAATAAAATAAAAATAAAAACCCAAAGTCATATCTTTTTTTGTAGCATTTATATAAAATAGTATTATTTTTTTTGTAATTAACTTTAGTTATATATTATATAATACTAATACTATAAAAACTATTTTGACATTGATTTTTGATATAAAACTATTAAGGTTTATATTAAAAATCAATACTAAAATAGTTCTATAGCATGTATATATATATTATAAAATTAATTATTTAATTTTAAAATTTTAATGCCATTTATATTACTTTTAAAAATTTCTTAGCAGGCTTCAAAATAGATTTCGAATTCAAGAACGAAAAATTTTATTGCTTGTTGACAATGCTACCTCTTATACTATTGACAATCCTGAAGCATATCCAAATATTAATATACACTTTCTTCCTCCACTTACTACTGTGCATTTATAGCCAATAGATGCTAGCATTATAAAAGCATTTAAGGCTCGTTACAAACATCTTTATATATGTCAAGTGATTAATGATTTTGATAAAGGTGTTGAAGAACTAGAAAAATTGATGTTCTTCAAGCTATAAGATTAGTAAAAACTGTCTGGGATGCAATAAGTCAAGAAACTATAAAAAACTGCTAGTGCCATACCCAAATATTACACTCTAAACATCTTACTAAAATTTTCTCAAATGAGTTAGTAATTAATAATAACTTAGAAATTTAAGAAACCCAAATTTTTGAAATTATTATAGCACAACGTGAAGCTCAAGAAATAATTAATCTAACTGATAACCCGGATATTCAACAACTTGCACAAGAATATCTTGATAATGATAAATTTATTGCTATTGAGGAAGTAATGAATGATAACCGAATTATAGAATTAATTAATAATCCAGATACTGATGATAATGATAATAATCTGGTAGAAGAAGAACCTAAAATTACTTTTACTAAAGCCAAACAACAAATTAATATACTATACTTCTCAAGTTTATTCATCAACACTCATTGCAGCCCAATAGTTTTATTAAAGAAACTGATGAAGCTTATTTGTATGATTTTCTTTTACGAACCTATAGAGCTTCCAATAAATTAATGAAACAAAGTACTCTTGAAGATTTTTTAGCTAATGATAATTCTAAAAATTAAAAAAATAAGGTAAATATTTAAAATTACTGAATAAAAAGTAACTTAAATTAAATTATTTGATTATAGATTAATTTATTTTATAATTTGATTTGATTTCTATTAATTTATCTAAGTTTGCAAATAACCCTTCATATTTAATTTTTTGAAAGAAATTTATTATTCTTTGATTGCTGTTTATATTTATACTTTATATTTTTTTGCTTAATAAAATCTTCATTTAATCAAAATATAGATCGATTGGGTTAAATTTAATATTTATTAATGCTGTACATCAAATTAAAATTTTTAATCAGATCAAAATTTAAATAATGAATTTCATTAAGATTAGAAAAAAAACTTATGTTAGGGTGGGTTATGGTCATTTAATTTGATGTAGATATTAGTTTGACACACAATATTAGTTAGCGCATAGGAATTAAAAAGAGAAATTCAATCTTTAGTTTCTGACTTTTGATTCAATAAGTTGGTTTGACGAGTTTAATTAACATTAAATGTACAGCACGATGGGTCAAAATAAATTTAGTTCCAAGCTAATAAGATATCCTATACCAAATTAGTTGCAAAAGCTTATTTGTATTCGTATAAAAAGTTAAATTACTTTAAAAATTGATAAAAGTAATTATATTTTTATATGTGAGAATAAATGCGATAATAATTAAAAACAATATGTTTAACTATCAAAAGAAAAATAAGACCAGGATAAAATCACCACCCAAAAAGCTTCAAACATCACGTGGCAAATATATCGAGCATCTGTAATTCATGTAACTTGAACAAAAAATACAACCAAAAAAAATTTATAAACAAAATAATCATGATAAGCAATTTTGTTTATTTCGAATCAACTCAATAAACGTAATATTTGTTACAGCTAGAAAGTATTATGATTGCAGTTTTTATAAATATTTGGAATATTTCATTGTTTTTTAAAATGATTATAATTCTATTCCAATTTATGCAATGGCTTTAAGTTGTTATTAATACTATCGAGCTATTTTTTCTTGTTTGGATTCATTATGTTTTCTCCATTAATTTTTTTTGTTGCATTCTGAATTCAAAATTATAAAAATTTTTTGCTCAAATAAATAATCAGAGTTATAGTCTTACAGGTCTTCTGGAAGAGCATTAAAATAAAATCTATAAGGTTTTCTGACGCAATTGCATTTTCTTGATTAGTTTTTACAATTTTATTTCATTTTTTTTCGTTTATTAGTGAAAATTTTAGTGAAAATTTGGTTATAGCAATCGATGTATATTTTTAAAATATTTAAGTTTATGCCCTTAAAAAAATCACTTGGTTTGTTAAGATGAAATGATCACTTTTCATTTTGAAGAATCAAAGAAAAAAAATTATCAAATTAATTAATATGATCCTAACCATAATGAATTGACAATATCACGATTTTTGAAACTTTTTTGGGTGGTGATTTTACCTTGGTCGAAAAATAAATTTAAATTAGTTATAATAAATTTGAACTCAACTGTAATATTTTTTAAAATTTGGACTTTTATATGTAAACATTTTCACTTTAGGCCCTTGTAATTGTTTATAGTTTTTGAGTTTATATCTAAATTTTTAATTTTTTTTGATAAAACTTTTCTATGCTATTTTATTATTTTCTATATAGAGCAATTAAATTATAAACCTTAAATAAATTAAATAAATTAAAAACTAATTAAATTTGAAATTAAAATCTAACATTATTTGTAGCTTAGATTTTTAACTTTGCAAAAAAATTTTTTTACTATTACGCAATTCAATTATAGAATTTTTAAGCTAGTAAAAGAACTAAAAAATATAAATATTATGGGATTTTATTCTAAAACTTAGTTATTGATCAGTAAGCTATAGAATTTTAGTAATATAGAAGCATTTATTCAATTTGGGTTGTTTTTTTATAATTGTCTTATATTAGTCACAACTTTGCAATAGTCACATAAAATTTCTGATTATATAGTATAACTATTGCGAGGTTCTACTGTAGATCAAAAACAATTTTATCTTTAAATTTTAATTTCGTATTCCGAAACTTAAAATAATTTTGTCAGTATGTATATTTGGTTCTACACAAGTAGGTGTATTGTTGACAAAGTACCAAGAGTATAAAACCAAGAAGCAGACTACTTTGGACAGTTTTTGTAGAGGTCAAGCTTTCTTGTTAACAGACTCTTCTATTATATTTGGCATCTAAACCAAAAGGATATTCTGAGAATACAGAACAACTAGATCGATACTAAGCATATTAAAAAAACTGAAGATAGTCTCTATATAACTGTGAAACTTACAAGAAAGAATCTACAAAGTTTCATTGGCCCACCATTTTTTTTGAGAAAATTTTGTCAAAAAGTTTGTATTTTAGCTTACTCTTTCAAAAGATTAATATATAATTTTCTAAAATAGTTGATATTGTTTATTTTCTAAATCTGGTTGATTATTTCCTAAAACAAGTTGTTTACTTTTAAGTAAACACAAATCGATGGATAGCTGGATTAAGCAACTGAATACGTCTGAAGGACAACACAATTAGGCAATATGCTTTAACCGAAAGAAACTGTTTAAACAATACTTCAAGACTAATAGTGCCTTTTAACTACTCTGTTTTGTCTAATTTAAATCTGCTATTTTTGCTTTTTTTTTGTATAGATTAGATATATTATTAGAATAGAGTTAGATACAGAGCTTCTTTATCTTATAATATATAATTTTTATTAGTCTGACACAGGCTTATAATTGTGATTATCAGTTTTTTTTTTTTTTTACTTTCGTTTTTTTTCTTTTTCTCTTTTTTTTGTTTTTTTTTTTGTGTTTGTTTTTTTTTTTTTTTTCACTTCTTTATGAGAAATGTCATCAGATTGGTAATATCTTATTGTAGAGTAGTAGTCTGATATGGCTTTCTAAGATAGGTTGTCTTTAGATTTTTCGTTGATTTACTATAATATGTCTTTTGTAGATTTATTGGCCTAGTGTGATAGGTTGCTTGTAAATGCTCTTAGAAGTAACTGCAGGATGTCAGGCCTAAATATTAAGCTTAAAGTATCTTGTACAGCCTGCAACAAAACAACCTTAATAAAGGATCACTGGCAAGACTGCCTAAGTTAGAAAAAAAATTTTATAACATAACAGTTATCTGATTTGTCACAAAATTTATATATAGAGTGTTTTTTATATATAATATTATAGCAAAAACATATAGAAATACATATAAACTTTGTTGCAATGATGTTTCTTCCCTTATATATTAACTTTAAATTAAATTTTATAAATAAATATATCAAGAAAAGGTGAATAAAATACTTTCGAAACTAAATTAAAATTTTGCAATTTTTATACAATTTAAAAATATAACTTTGTCAAAAGAAAAAATTTAACAGTTTTAAAGTAAAAAATATATGTAAATTTATATTCTGAACAACTTTTAGTTAGTAAATAAAAAAGGTTATCTTAGTAAAAAAAAAGTTTTTTATGTACTAATGTCAAAATTTTCAGTTTTTCTATATAAAACTTTTTTTTCTGCTTAGATAACCTGTTCTGACCTTTTAAGCAAATTTGTTTAGCATACAATT